TTCACTATCTCAATTTTAAACCTAACTGTGCCCTTAACATTTGCTTTTAGATGCTTTGATTTCTATCTAGCATCTCAAACAACTATAACTCACTGGGATTAGAAATATATAGACATAACATTTTTTCTTACTTTTAAAATACAAACTATTTATATAAGCTAATCTATCTGTCTTCAAACTATTCTTCAATTTTCATACCCTTTCTGAAACTGCATATTCTACTGTATCTGCTATTTTCCTTGATACCAAATTAATAAATTGACTTATATAAACCATAATATTTTGTCAAAGAAAAAATATGCTAATCTAGCAGCACTGGAACCAGCTGTGGATGAAACTCTATGCTTCAGGATGGATGGAAGAGCCCAAGTCAACTGCTCTTTTCAGGAGTCTTCCAAGAGTTCCGAGAAACTGTCAACACACCAAAATAAGTGATATTTTCACTTATTTCTTCATGAAAAAAAAAACCCACCATATTATGCATCTTATGGCATAAAAGACACTAACTTCTGGCAAGCTTTTTACATGTAACATATGGATCTGCGGTTTTCTTGCTACAAATGCTGGAGTGTCCTCTATAAAATGCTCAATTTCACCTCGAGTTCTAGCCTGCATGTGTCTATAGTAAGTGCCTACAATGTCCTAAGTTTTGTCCTGGGAAGCTCCAGTACTACAAATAAATAAATTCTCTGGAAGTCATCCTTTGACATTCATCTTGGACTGAAGTCTTCCAAAATTCAGTAATCCATTTTCAAATTATTACTATGATTTAAGAATTGTATGCAGAGCCAGGCAGATCTCTGTGAGTTTGAGGCCAGCCTGGTCTACAGAACGAGATCCAGGAAAGGCACCAAAACCACACAGAGAAACCCTGTCTCAAAAACAAACAAAGCAAAACAAAATAAAAAGAATTGTATGCTGGGGCTGGAGAGTTGGCTCAGAAGTTAAGAGCACTCGCACCTTTAACTCAGCACCTGGCTGGCAGAGGCAGGAGAACCTCTGAGTTCAAGGCCAGCCTGGTCTACAGAGCAAGTTCCAGGACAGCCTAAGTAGTTACGGAGAGAAACCCTGTCTCAAAACAAACAAACAAATTAAAAGTGAAAAAAAAATTAACTGAATTTTGTTAATATTCATCTAGAAAACTAGATATTTGTTTAACCATGTACATTTTATGCAAAGTTGTAATGATTTAAAATAGTATATAGTACTATAATAAAAAGTCATATCAATGGAATTATTTATATGCTTCTATACAAAACAGAAAACAAAACATACAAAAAACACCCATAGAAGCATACCAACGAAAACCCAAGATTTTAGCAATGACACAATTAGTATTTGAAATCACTGTAAAAACAGACCAAAAATGACTAACCAATGCCAGGAGATGGTGGCACGCACCTTTAATCCCAGAACTCAAGAGGCAGAGGCAGGAGGATCTCTGTAAGTTCAAGGCCGCTCTGGTCTACAGAGTTTTAGGACAGACAGGGCTACACAGAGAAACCCTGTCTCCCGCCCTGCCCCCCAAAAAACTGACTAACTAGGTCAGAGTGAAAGGACACGTATTTTGTCAGGTTGTAAAATTAATTTAGATGGATTGAAGATTTACATCTAGGTAATTCATTCTTCTTTTCACCCCTCTCTCTTCCTCTTCAAATAACTTTATTCTTAAAACCACGAGGTGGGACCAAACAAGGAAAAGAAAAATCTCTACCCTGGGGAGTCAGGGGCAGTCCACACAAGGGTCACAATCTGACTGCAGGGTAGGAGTGAGTATGATATCAGAACACGTGAAGAATAAGCACAGGGGGAAAGCAGGCACTAGTGGAGTGAAGCCGCCAAACCCTGAGAGGATAAGAAGGACTGTATTAGGGCAAGAAGCAAGTGGGCCTGAATAAAGCTATGAAGCAGTAAGCAACAAGGATCCGTTCATATAAGAAGATGAATCAAATAAGCACATTACTGAAGATAAAGGAAGTCATGTATCGGTTGGACTGAAACAAGTCATAATATGACAAGAAATAATGATAATAGGCCTAGATCTTCTAGTTTACATTTGATAAAGTCATTAAGTTTATATACTTTCAATACATAAACACAGATACTAAACAGATACAGTAAAGAGGTATATCTATCCAAATTTTGCATCAGAATTAAATTAAATAACTATGGCCTCATAGTTTTCAACACATATAAATGATATAAATATTAACATATATAAATTTGCATTGCAGTGCTAATAAGCAGGTTATCTATTTTCTAACTATACCAACTGAGAGAACCTGAGACCCAAAATGCCCTAAGAACAGTAAGTACATTTAGTGTCTTGGTTTCTAGCTGTCATTCTCATGTAAAAGAAAATCTAGTTCTTTGGAGAAAATTGATTCCAGTAGTACTAGACCACCCATGTATCAAGATGAATGCCAAAATGAGTAAAAGACAGAAGGCATACAGAACAAGATGTTTACATACAAATTACTTTCCCACAAAATGGCAATTAATTAAAAAGGGAATAAAATCAACCTAATAGTAGAGAACCTTGCAGACATCCCCTTAACTAATGATGAAAGTAAGATTATAAGGTATCAGAAAAACTGAAATCAGTGTGCCACCTGACAAAATGCAATAAGAACACAAAATCAAACCCTGTCTTGAAAAGCCAAAAAAAAAAAGAACACAAAATCATTTCTATGGCATTCCCTTCAAAAATACAATCCACTAAAGTGGAAGAAACATCAGACAAGTCCAAATAGAATGATATGCTACAAAATAACTAAAAACTACAATAATCTAAAGTATCAAACTGACAAAAGTCAAGGAAAGATTATGTTATTCTTTGAGATTAAAAGAGATTTAAAAAAGAAACAAAACTTCTGTTATTTTTGCATGAGACACATTTCTGGGGAAAATGAGAAAACATCATTGAGTCCTGATTTTGATAGCTATATTACAGATGTATGAGTACTGTCCTTCCTTCCTTACTTCCTTCTCTATTTTGTGGTGCTAGAGCACTGAACTCAGGACCTGGCACATACTAGGAGACACTCTAACCCTGAGCTATTCCAGCCCAAGAACGTCCATCTTTATAGGAATATATAGTACGGCATAAGAGAGGAGGAACTCTATGCTGTTGCCACAGCTTGTGTATAAACTTTCTTACTTGAAACTTTATAAGGAGAACAGGTTTTAAAATGAATTTTAAAGGTACTAAGAAATACAGGTTTGAGAGGCAAGTCAGTGCAATGCGACTATTAAGATCTGAGTTCAGATCCTGACATACATGTACCAAGCATGGTGCGGTCCTGCACACACCTTTAACCCCAGCACTACAGACAGAGGAAAGAGAGGATTGCTGGGACTGTTAGCTACCAGCCTAGCCAAAAGAGGAAAAAAACAAAAAAGAAACACCTCCAGCTTCAAGTTCAGTAAGAGAGCTGTCTCAGTGAACAATGTGGAAAGCAACAGAGAACAGTCAATGTCTTCTTCTGACTTCCTTGACACACACTTACACACACATGTACACATACAACACACATACACATACCACACTCAAACATGAAAATTAAAAATTATTTAAAAATACTGAAAGTATATACATTTCTATAGAGAAAGCTATTCTCTTGATAGCATCTGGCACACATCTATAATCCAACCCTCTGGAAGTAGAAACAGGAAGATCACAAACTCAAGGTTACTGCTCCTGCTACTTAGCAAGTCTAAAGCCTGCTGGGATACAATAGAGCCTGCCTCCACCAAACAAAGCAAGCGAAACAAACCCCAAGAAGAAAACACAAAACACCTTGAAGAAAAAAAAAATGTTGTAATAAAACAAGGTCAATTAACCAACCTGAAAAACCTCTGAAAAAAGGAATTTAAAAACAACAGTACTTTTAATGGTAACATAATCGCACTTAACATGATAATTACTTAAGAACTGGTAATGACATTATAGAGAAAAGTTTCACACAATAATGAAACTTCCAAAATGCTCATACCCTTTCACATGGAACCCTAACAGTATGAAACCAGACCCCACAGGAGGGCCTGTCTATGAGGGGCCTCTCCACAGCTGACTGAATCTAGCAATACTCTGTCCTAAAGACTAAAAAGCCAGAAAAATTATGACAGAAATACCATTTATTGATGCAAAAATAGAGGAAACAGCAACTAATATGATCTAAATGTTTTATAAGCACATGTGAGATACACAAAAATACACAGAAAAAGTCAAAAGATTTAAATAAGATTTACTTTTTCAAATGTTTTAAATGAGTATTAATCAAAAGATTATTGTTAAAATATCTGAAATCTCAAAACTGACTATCATGACATTCGTCCACAGAAGCAGCATGCACCTTTATTTACAACACAGTAATACTATCTAAAGGCAATGGACAGCAGAAAAGTCTTGACAATGCAGTAGCAGCGTCAAACAACAGTGTGTGTGTGTGTGTGTGTGTGTGTGTGTGTGTGTGTGTGTGTGTGTGTGTACACTAAATTAGGAAGAGATAAAGCAAATGGTTAAGTGTTTTTATTTTAAAACACAGAGTCTCCAAACATGTTACCTAGGTAGGCCCTGAACTCTTGGGCTCAACTCATCCTCCTGCCTCAATGTCCCAAATACTTAGGACTAATGATGGGAAAATAATGACTAATTGAAATCTAATAAAAACCTTGACACTTGATAAGGCAAGAGGTCAGTAAATTTTCAAGGACAAATGTGCACTGAAGACTGAAATGTCCTGAAAATATTAATAAACACCTAGATTAGAATAAAAGATGACACAGATTTATTACTTTTACACTCTTGTGAGCTTATTTTAATACTGTAACTTAAGGTGGTAACTATTTTTCTCCAAATCTCTATGAAGTTAGAGGGAGGTCTTTAGTTTTTTAAGAAAACAAAAAAACAAAACCCTAAAAACTAAAACCCGCCTCCTTTCTATCTCCTAGCTTCCAAGCTAAAAATGCAAACAACATTAAGATGACATCCACTGTACCTTATTATAACGATCATGTGGGACAGACTGTAAAACGATTGGCTCCATTGTAGAAACATTGGCAAATTGTACCTCTGGAATATAGAGGGCACAAACCACATGAGCCCAACCTAAAAATAAATAAATACATAATGTCATTCTTCAAGTTTTATCAAAAAATAAAATTACTATCTGTCTTAAAAGATCCCTTAAAAGACTATTTAAGCAAATTCATAACAAAACCATAATAAAAATCTAGCTGCTGCATTATTTATGTCATAATTGTCACCCGCTCACTACTGGTGTAGAGGGTCCTAATCATGGCTGCATCTATTACGCACTGAACATAAACAAAGGGAGCACTTATGTATTCAGGTGCTGACACTGATACTTAAGGGCAGACTAAGTTCAGATTAACACTACTTCTGAAAACCACTTTAATTTGAGGAAACCAGGTATGATGGTTCCCAGCACTCTAAACGCTCTGAGACAAAATCAAAAGGAATTTATCCATTTCCAGGTCAGTAAACGCTACACAGTGAGCTGAAGATCAGACTGTATTGCCAAGTTAAGACCACTTTAAAAAGCCAAAAACAGCCGGGCGGTGGTGGCGCACGCCTTTAATCCCAGCACTCGGGAGGCAGAGGCAGGTGGATTTCTGTGAGTTCGAGGCCAGCCTGGGCTACCAAGTGAGTTCCAGGAAAGGCGCAAAGCTACAGAGAAACCCTGTCTCGAAAAATCAAAAAAAAAAAAAGCCAAAAACAAATAAATGCATAAATAATGTGAAGGTTGTATAATTCATTAGTTAGCACCCCTGATTACTCTGTGAAGCTCTAGGTTCCATTCTCAGTTCTCCAATAAATAATTTATAGCTTTAAATAGCTTAAAGCTTCAAGTCTTAAAAGGTTGGAGATAGTTCAATGGCAGAGCACTTGCCTTAGTCTACAAGGGTTACGGTTGGCTCCATTCTCACCATCATCAAGAAAATAAAAAGAGGAATGATTTTAATACTTCTAATCTTAATAATCTTACATCTGACAGTATTATTTATAATTTGTCAACATTTTGAATGTTCATATAATGGTTGTCATTTTTCTATTTTAAATCTTTATCTGAAATATTACCAATTGATATTAAAGTTTCTTTTAATTATAAAAATGTGACTGAGGCTAAAGAGCTGATGTTATGGTTAAGAGTTACTATAAAACTGGAAAAAGAATTCCAGGAAGGTGGGGTAGAGCCACAGACAAAGGGAAGCAGTAATACTGAAAGACAAGCTAGGATTAAAAATCAGATATACCATGGACCTCAGAAAGATCACACTTAGGCTTTAATCATCTTAAACGCTAAACTTTGAACAAAGCAATCCTAAACAAAGCAAGTGGCCGGCATCAAACAAATATATATACTCTAAAAGAAAATGATAACTTTCCACAACTTAGTCACAAATAATGTCCATAATTTGTTAATTAGAATTTCTAGAATAAAAATCACTAAACACATGAAAGTAAGACAGCACAAGAGAAATCCAGTACAAACAAGAAAATCAAATCTACAATTTGGAGTTATCAGAATATTAGTATGTTTATTCTGTTCAAATACATGCAAAGAATGCAAGTCAGCAAGAAAATCTCCTAAAAACCACCAAACAAACCCAAAAGTACTTTCAAACACTAAAGGAAGCATCATTTTCCTCAAAAAGAAAAAATTATTCAAAAAGGAAGCTTGAATTGGGTATGGGGGAGGGTGAGAGATGTGTGGAGACTAAATATAAGTGCTTCTATTAAAAAAAGAAAATGCAGGCCAGATGTGTTGGTACACCCTTGAATCTTAACTCATGGAAGGCAGAGACAGGCAGGTCTCTATGAATTCAAGGCCAGCCTGGACTACAGAGAGAGTTCCAGGTCAGCCAGGGCTATACAATAAGACTGCCTCCAAAAAAGAAAGGAAAAGAAAAAAGGGGAAAGGAGAGCACAAAGGCTGGAGCAATGGCTCCGTGGTTACCAAGGGCCTTGCTGCTCTTCCAGAGGACCCTGGTTCAGTCCTCTGAACTCACATGACAGCTCACAACTGTCAACTCCAGGGATTGGACACCTTCTTCTGGCCTCTGCAGGCACCAGGCATGCACATGGGTCACATGCACACTTACAGGCAAAACACACATACACATAAATAAAGATAAACCTTAAAAACAAAAAAACCACTGCCAGGTGAAGTGGCCCACACTTGTAAGGTGGGGGTGGAAGCAAGCCCACAAAAAAGCAGAAAGGAAAGAAAGGAGGGGGAAAGAAACTAAAACCAAAGAATTATTGCCTCAATGGTCAGGAATAAATCCCCTAGATCAACACTGATACAAACTAACCTAACAAATTTAAGATTTGTTTCCCAAAACCTTAACCATATCTCAGAACAAAGCTTAAAAATAGTTAAAGGGGGGCTGGAGAGATGGCTCAGCAGTTAAGAGCACTGGCTGCTCTTCCAGAGGTCTTGAGTTCAATTCCCAGCAACCACATGGTGGTTCACAACCATCTGTAACGAGATCGGGTGCCCTCTTCTGGCCTGCAGGCACACATGCAGGCAGAACACTGTATACATAACAAATAAATAAATCTTTAAAAAAAAGTTACAAGGGTAAGTCATGGTAGGGCATTCACAGTGGTAATCCCAGTACTAAAGAAGCTAAGGTAAAAAGAAGAGTAGCCTAGATCATGAGACTGTACATATATAAATATATACACATAGGATGCAAAATATACAGATTTATACCAACAAAATATGGCGGAAGGTACAAAGGTAGGTACCACACCAGAAACAATAAAAATTACATAGAAATTGTTAAATTCTCTTATAGAACTCTGGAAAACAGCAAAAGGTTTGCAGCAACCAAGTACCTACTCAACTAAGTAAAAGGCAAATAAGTAAGATAGGAGCTCTTTGACCTCCCCTTAGCATATAAATGCTTTAGGTTCGGAGTCTTAAATACAACAGCAGGAGTTCCCAGTGTAGAGATCCCTGGCTTCTGATGTGCAAAACACTGTGTATCTGTCACTGCTCCAAAGTGTCTGAAAGCTAACCAGGGACTGAGACATGCCTGTCCTTCTGCTCTCAGAGTTCACTCAGAAGAGAAAGTAGCCCTTAAATTCAATGAAAGGCAAACAACCCACAGATGCCTGGAGGAAAAGATATTTGAAGCACACATTGAGCACCCAAAGCCTAGGAGGAAAAACTAAGAAAAGTCTCTGGCACTGACCTGCCAGAGGGCTGAATTCACTTTCCAAAGCAGTGGTTCTCAACCTTCCTAATGCTGCAACCCTTTAATACAGTTCCTCATGTTGTGGTGACTCCCAACCATAAAATTATTTTCATTGCTACTTCCTAACTGTAATTTTGCTGTTATGAATCATAATGCAAGTATTAAAGGGGATACAGAATTGCCAAAGGAGTTATGGCCCATAGGTTGAGAGCCACTGTTCTAAAAAAAGACTTGAGACAGCCATCAATTTTTATCTCTAACTAGAACCAAAGTATGGTAAAAACAGGAAGTGAGGGGGTAAACAGAGTGGTAAACAGAATGAAAATATCATAGGAAGAACACAAAATACAGGTAGAATGTTTCTTTTTGAATTTCCCCCCTTTTCTCACTATTTTATACTAATGTTCAAGGAAATCATCACCAAAACACTAACTGAAGTCTCCAGCAATTATATTACAAAAATATACACTTTAGAAGTCACTAAACACAAAAGGATAAGGACACAGCAACAAAAACTAAACCCTACAGGAAAGGTGGAACTTTGCTCCAGATTTAACCCATTATAATATTCAATTATAGTCAGGGTTTTTTGGGGGGAAGGGGGGAGGATTGTTTTGTTTTGGTTCTTTTGGTTTTTCAAAACAGGGCATCTATGTGTAGCCTTGGCTGTCCTAGAACTCAGAGATCCTCTCGGCTCTGCCTCCTGAGTGCTGGCATTAAAGGCGCGTGCCGCCACCACTTGGCTTGGTTTTGCAATGCTTTAGAGGATATATCTCAAAGCATGTTAAGCAAGCACCCTACAACTGAGCTATACCACACAATACAATAAATACATACATTCTAAAATAAGGAAAATGGGGGGGTGGCCTGTGGAGATAGTTCAGCAGGTACAGCGCTTGCTGTGTAAACATAAGGCCTTCAATTCAGGATCCCCAGCACACATATAAAATCCAGGTATTCTGCCTGAAAGCACACGGGACAGAGAGTTGCTAGCCAGTCAGTCTAGAGTTCAAGGTTCCATGAGATACCCTGTATCAAAAAATAAGGTAGATGGAGGAAGACACTCAACATCAACCTCTAGGCTTCACATGCACACACAGATGCACACACAAGTATACACACACTCATGTGCACACACACACATACACACACAAAGCCCACTATTTTTTAAGTATGGTTCATTCACAGAAGATATTAATAGAAACTCTTCATGCAAAAGATTTTCTATCTTACACACTCCCAAGAATTAAATGCTGAAGAAATAGAAGTTATTAAGATAAATCAAAACCAAACAAAAATCTTTAAGTTTTATAAAAATGAAAATAAAAATATTACAATGCCAACAGCAAATACAAATAAACAGAAAAAGAAAAAAGTAAAAGACAAGTCAACTGATAATATCATTTGAAGAACACTGGAGAAAACAAAGATGTGGGTAAAATGCCTGCAGGACACAATCCTATATACATGTATTGATAAAAGGGTTCTCCTGAGTAGAGGAGCAAGAAAGATGGATGGGAGTATGTAGAAATAATGGTTCCAAATTTCCACAATTTCATAAAACACATGAATATGTAACTCAAGATTCTCAAAAAACTTCAACTAGTGTAAAAGGAGATAGAATGATCAATGTTACATGCCAAGAAACAGCTATAATCATCTTAAAGCACTGAGAAGTTATTCAACACATAATAAGATGTTCAGTAAGAATACACAACCTACAACTGCCTGACTTACAAGTTTTGAACTCTACACTGGTACAAAATCAAAGTGCATTCAGTCGAAACAATTTCAAGTTTGGCATCTGGCAGTTCTTCTAGGCTACTAACAATGTGGTATCATATTCTCCCCATAAGTCAATAGCAACATAACAATCAAACACGAACTCTACAGAACTGTGCTGACAAAGTATGATGTTCAGCAGTTTTAAGACTAACTGCATTTTCAGCTGACGGTACAGTCAGGCATACTATAACATTTTGATCAATGACAGGCAGGCACATTGATACATATATATACCATATATACAAATGTGTTCCCATAAGATTACTAAGAAGGCAAACTTTTCCAGTGTCTTCTGAAATTACACATCCATTACACATCCCTGTGCACTACATTATTAACATGTTTATAGTGATGCTGGTATGAATAAACTTACTACACTAAACATTCAATATGCTACCCACATATAACTATACATATGTACAATATTAAATAGTGGTAATAAGCAATTATGCTATCAGTTAATGGTTAATTTTTATGCCTTCTATTTGCTTTTAAAAACAAACTATGTCGGGCTGGAAAGATGGTTCAGCGGTTAAGAGAACTGGCTGCTCTTCCAGAGGTCCTGAGTTCAATTCCCAGCAACCACATGGTGGCTCACAACCATCCATAATGAGATCTGTTGCCCCTTCTGGTTTACAGGCATACATGCAGACAGAACACTGTATACATAATAAATAAATAAATCTTTAAAAAAAAAACTATGTCAACTATAAAGGCAGGTCCTTAAGGGGTTACTCTAAAATGCACTGTTACTACAGTTCTAATAGCTCTGCATGTTTCTTTGGTGGCAGTGGTTTTTGGTTTTCTGTAGTACTGGAGGTTGAATTCAGCTCCTCACACGTGCTAGGCAGCACTCTATCACTAAGCAACATACTCAGTCCATGAAAATGACTTCCCTGAAGACTTTTCAAGGAAATGATAGGTGAAGGTGGGAAACAGTGATATTGATACCCCTGATGTTATGCAGAACAAGGATAATGTATGTTGTTTCTAATTTTCCAACAACAACAACAAAAAAAAACCTTAAAATATAGGATGGATGTAATAAATAGCACACATCTTCAATCCCAGCACTTGGAAGAAAGAGGCAGGAGGATCACTCTGAGTTTGAGGCAGGCCTAGTCTATAGAGAGTTCCAGGTAAACCAGGATACACGGTAAGACCCTGTGTGTGTGTGTGTGTGTGTGTGTGTGTGTGTGTGTGTGTGTGTGTGAGTGTGTGTGTGTGTGTGTGTGTGTGTAAGCAAGTATTTTTGGTGAACGTAACAATGTCATTATAAAAAATATTTTAGATAGTTCTGTAACATTTTAAGCTCATGTTATTCTATTACAAGAGTCAAAAAGTGAAAACAATGAAAAAATTATATTGTAAAAATGCTACAGTAGCTGGATATGGTGGTGCAGGACTTTAATCCCAGCACTCAGAGGCAGAGGCGGGTGGATCTCTGTGAGTTCCAAGGCCAGCCTGGTCTACAGAGCAAGTTCCAAGACAGCTATAGTTATATACCAGGGAAACTCTGTTTCAAAACAACAACAAAAATGCAAAAGGTAGACAATGGTAGTGCTTGATAACCCCAGCACTCAGGAGGCAAAGACAGAGGCAGGTAGAAGAAGACAGATCTACAGAGAAAGCTCTAAAAAAAAAAACAAAAAAGAAAACCTTCCTGTCCTAGACTTTCACATTCTCATACCACTCACTCAGTTACTCGCCCAGGACAACTTCAGTTCTCACAAACTTCACAAGGTCACGCCTACATAGTACCCTATACAGGTAAACCGTTTTTATTTTTGATATTGAAATACTTATTATACCTTTTCCATACTTAGATTTATAACAACTTACCACTATGTTGTATCTGCATTATTCAGTAGTATAGCAGTATGATATGTTTGTAACCTAGAGACAATAGGCTATATCATATAATTTATGTGTAGTAAGCTGTATGTCTAGGTTTGTGTAAATACACTCTATAATGTTCACTCAGAAAGAAAGCAGCTATGACACATTTCTCAGAACTTAAGCAGTATATGACTGTGTCTGTCTAAAAAGTTAAGAAAATAATCAACTTTTGCCAATAAAGTTTTAAAACTACAGAAATCAATAAATTGCCAACATTTACAAATGAAACAACCAACCAACAAAATAGAAAATTTTAAATTCTTTAATCACTAAAAGCAATTGTGCAGATTTATAATCTTGAGAATATTCAGGATATATTTCTTAGTGATTTCTACCAAATACTTACAGATTATAAAGTTCCAATTTTACAAAAATACCTCCAGAAAGAGAGTGTTTCCCAATGTGTTATATAACCATCATAATATTACTGATAAAACTTGAAAAATAAAGCCGGGCGGTGGTGGCGCACGCCTTTAATCCCAGCACTCGGGAGGCAGAGCCAGGCGGATCTCTGTGAGTTCGAGGCCAGCCTGGGCTACCAAGTGAGTTCCAGGAAAAGGCACAAAGCTACACAGAGAAACCCTGTCTCGAAAAACCAAAAAAAAAAAAAAAAAAAAAAACTTGAAAAATACTGTAAAAAGGGAGCTCACTGCGTAAGCCCCTTATAAAAAGATACCAACTTCTTTTTTTTTTAACTCCCCAGAAGCCATTATCTTTAACAAAATATTACCCAAATGAATCTCATATTATTTTAGGAAAATAGGCTGATTTTACTTTCAAAAATAAACCAGTTAAATAAACCTTATCAAAATAAGGGAGAACTATTATATGACCATCTCAACAGGAAAAAAAGAAAAAGAAAAACTATCTTTCTTTATACTTCTATATCAGTCACTTAATTTTCATAGTTTAACAAGCCCCACAAAAAACCGCCATCCACGTATGCCATCAACAAGAGCATTTACTATTCCAGCATGCTGGGGCCTCCATCCTATACATAGCCAAAATGGCACCGAGAGAGGAGCTCACAGGCTCCTTTAAAGCACAGCTAATGGGAGTTCCTAGGGCAGTTAGGTCATCTCAGATACGATTGGCTTAAGCAAGTGGCAATCATATTAGTACATTCCAATTGGCTAGGCTGGCTAGTCAGGGGCTGGTTAAGGTTACAGCTTTTCCAACTGGGAAAGGCCTGGACAAGTCCCAGGCTTTGTCCTTATTTGGTTAATACCTTAAGCTATTGATTGCGGGGCTGGTATGTGCTATCTCCTTCTTCCCTGCTGTCAGGGGTATTGAAGATTGACTGTCCTTTGTTTGCTTCCTCAGAAACTGCTTGCTCAGTCTCAGGAAACTGAAATTGAGGCCTGATCTCTGACAAAAGACAGAGCCTCCTATATAGTTAAGAATGGTACTGATACATAAAGGAGTAAGTAAGTACTTTAATCCAGGCATGTAGAACATTCCTGTAATCCTAGAACTCATGAGGCAGAGGCAGAAGAACTGTCACACATCGAGGCCAGGCTGGGCTACACAGAAAGTGCCAAGCACTGACCTATACACACGGAAATGAAGAAAGGACAGAGAAAACAGAAGAAAGGGAAAAGAAAACCCAGACAAATTTCTCAGGGAAGATGACTCAAAGAAGAGATGCAAAATAAATACAGGGTAATCCTCATCCAAAATGCTTGAAACTGGAAGATAGGGAAGATTTAGCTTTCTGAATATTTACAGAAAAAAAATCCAAAATCTGAAACAGATATTCAAAAGGTGTTGGATTTTAATAGTATTTCAGATTCTGAATTTTCAGAAGAGGAAATGCTCAGAATCCTTACAAAATAACTCCTTGCCAGATGTCGTTGTTACCTCACACTTAGGAGTGATACATTAGGGAGAATACTTGGCCAGGTGTGATTAGTCCTGTAACCCCAGAACCTGGGAGAAACACAGTAGTGAGGCCATTTTAAAAGCAACAACAAAAACCAAGCCATGTATGGTGGCACATACCTTCAATTGCAGCACTCAGGAGGCAGAGGCGGGCAGATCACAGTGAGTTCGGAGCCAGCCTGGTCTACATATTGAGTTCCAGGCCAGCCAGGAATACATAGTAAGACCTTGTTTCAAAAGATAAAATAAATTAAGGTTTCAAGTAGAAGAATGCAGATCGTTCTGCATAAACAGCCAATACACAATGAAGACAAACTGTAGGAATACAGAAAATGAGTTCAACCACACATAACTGCCCGTCTACAATGCCAGAGCATAGAATAATAAAGCAAGAGGATGGGGTATTCAGGTTAACCTAGATCACACAATGAGACCTTGTCTCCAATTAATTACATCATTATTAATATTTTAATAACAATATTTAGTTTGATAAAGTAATATGAACTATCAAATTCTTTTAAGTACCATACCATATCAATTTTCAATATTTTTTGAAAGACTGTACTTACCCCCATTATCTGTTCTTTTTAAAGCTCCATCTTTATGGGGACACAGCTCACATCTCTATTTAGAGAAAATTAAAAATAAAAAAAAGGAAAAGGCAATGAAGTTTTTTTTTTCAGATCACCAAAACCGTATCTTTCCTATAACTTCAAAACTAACAAAAACAGAGTAGCATTTCTATTCATTGCCACCAAGAAAATTCCAGAACACTTCTCACAAAATAACTATTCACTGCAAACACCTTGTTTTCTGAAGTTTCATTTTTATGTTAAATATTTGAGTGCTCTGCATGCATGTCATAGGTATGCAGGTATCCATGGAGTCCAAAAGAGGGTACCAGATCCCCTGGTACTGGAACTATGTATGGATGATTGTGACCTATCATGTGGTTGCTGGAAAACTAACCCAGGTCCTCTGCAAAAGGAGTAAATGCTTAAGAACTGCTAAGGCATCTCTCCATTCCTCAAAATAACCATAATTTTCCTTATAATACTAGATTAACAACTTCTTTAGAATTATACTTTAAAAATCCTGCCCCATAGCTGATTGGTGGTGGCAGCACACGCCTTTAATCTCAGCACCTGGGAGGCAGAGACAGGCAATCTCCAGTGAGTTCGAGGCCAGCCTGGTCTACAAAGCGAATTCCAGGACAACCAGGACTGATGCAGAAAGAAACCCTGTCTTAAAAAAATAAGGGGGGGGGGGATCCTGGGACACCCCCCCTTTTTTTTTAACTTTTTCAGTTTTATATTGAGGTCAAACATAGTGGCCCTTGCCTGTCATCCCAATACTTGGGAAATCTAGGCAGCAGTACTGCCATGAATTGAAGTCATCATGGGCTACACAGAATTCCAGCCTAGACTACATGAGATAGTTTCTCAAAACAAGCAAGCAAAATTCTGAATTTTATATTAGTAAAAACAAAGTTGGATGAGGCAGCAGATACTGAGAGTGCAACAACACTTGGGAAGGTAAGTCTAGGAGTTTGAGGCCACCCCAGAAAACATGCCAAGATCTCCTTGGGGAAAACAAAAAAGAAAACTCTGGCATGGAGAACATACCAGATAACCCCAGTACTCAGGAGGCTGAAGCAGGACTACCATCAAGGCTAGTATGAGCTACAGTGAAAAAACATTTAAAAACAAAAAAACAACTTTCAACATAGGTCAGAAACAAGGTTGTAACATTTACCTAAATCACTTTGGTTTCTAATATAGGCAAGAACCAGCTTGAGGGCTGGAGAGATGATGGTTCAGCAGTGCAGAGCACTGGCTGCTCTTCCACAGAATCCAAGTCAGGTTCCTAGCATCCACATCACGTGGCTCACTAATGTCTCTAACTTCCATTCTAGGGGATTTGACATGCTCTTCTGGCCTCTTCTGGCACAAACATGCATACTCACACCCAAATAGCATACACATAAATAAAAATAAATCCTAAAATACATTTAAAAAAAAAAGAACCAGCTTGCCAAGCACAGTGATGCACACTTGGGAGACAGAGGCAAACTGATTTCTTTCTTTTTGTGGAGGTGGGGAGTGAACTCGCGCTGTAGACCAGGCTGGCCTCGAACTCACAGATCTGCCTGCCTCTGCCTCTCCTCTGCCTCAGGAGTGCTGGGATTAAAGGTGTGAACCACCAACACCCTGCTGGGATTAAAGGCTAATGGCATGAACCACCACCACCTGGCTGATTTCTTGAGTTCAAGGCCAGCCCAGTCAACATAGCGAGTTCCAGGCAAGCCATTACTAACTACATAGTGAGACCCTATCTAGGCTGAAGAGGAAAAGTTTCTTTAATGGTCACTGACAGCACTGGGCCAGGTATGGTGGACCTAAACTATAATACCAGCACTTAAGGAGGCAAGAGGAATTCAAGATTATCCTTAGCTACATAGTAAATCTGAAGCCCGCCTAGGTTACATAAAGACCTGTCTCAAAAATTTAACAAGAAAAATTAAAAAGAAGATTACAATCAACTGTATCATACATTTTAAAAATCTACAATAAATGACTTCTGAAAGTGGTAAGCCTGTGAGAGGACAAATCTGTAATACTGGTAACTGTAAATTCTGGAGAATACAAGTAGCTGCTACCTGAATAAAATGGATGACAGTAAGAAAGAATCTAAAGCTGGGTAGTGGTGGCTGCGGTGCTCGCCTTTAACACCAGCACTCGGGAGGCAGAGGCAGGCAGATAGATCTCTGTTTCGAAGCCAGCCTGGTCTATAGAGTGAGTTCCAGGACAGCCAGGACCACACAGAGAAACCCTATCTCGATAAACCAAAGGAAAAAAATGAGCAAGCATCTAGAATGCATACTAAATGAAAACTTGGAAAGAATGAGAGTACACCATTGTTTTAAAGCATTACTCTGACGAGAAGACATAGTTAACCTTCAGAGGCTTCTGTAGTTATAATACCTAAGAACCACAACAGAGGGTTCAGAACAACTTTGGTGTCCGTAAAGTAAGATCCCTGAATCCCAAACAGGGCAAACTGAGGAGAGAGAAGCTACTTTCATAGTTATAAAATCAACCCAATCTCTTGTTGATCTTACACCACACATACACAGGGCAAGCCACTAGCCCAGCTAAGGGAAAAAAGAGAGACAGACATAAAAGCAAAATGAAATTTAAATAGGTATTCGAAATACACACAAAATGGGTTTAAATGCAACCAATCAACCAACTCTAATTTTAAAGTTTTCAATTTCAGGGTTGGTGAGACAGCTCAATGGGTAAAGCCGAACAAGTGAGATGAGCAAAGCAGAGAGTGTGGGGGACCTTCAGTGCTCTACAGCTGGATGGGAGAGAAGGAAAACCGCTCACTGGCCTGGCACAGTCTGAAACAAGCAACAGGATGAATACTGAGGACCCACATCACATTCAAGGTTGTCCTCAACCTCCACACATGCATCATGGCATGTATATGCCTAAACTTCTACACACAAACACACACACACAAAGATAGTAATATATCAATTTCTTTTATTTTTTAAGACAGAGTCTTGTACAAATTCCTATGTGGGATATCTTAAAATTCTGATCTGTCTCTATCTTCTAGTGCTAGAATTCTAGGCATGCTCCACCATACTTGGTTTATGAGGTGCTAAGTAATGACTAGATAAAGACTCTACTGAACTAAAAATATCAGTCCCTTCAAAGGAATATAATAGAACATGGCCTTTTCAACAAATAATATGTTTGTGAGATGATCTACATTACTTGACCTGTAAAGAACCAGAAAAAAAGGTTAGTCATTGTTAAAACAAAAGGAAGTCAACAAATAACTCCAAGATTACTTGCACTTTGGAGAGAGCAGAGAGTTTTAAAATATATATGAAACAGGCAGATCTCAAAATCTCTGTGCATCTGAGGCCGACCTGGGTCTACATGTCAAGTTCTAGGCCAGCCAGGGATATATATAGTGAGACTCTAAATTAAATAAATAAAATACATATGAAATAGAATGAAAATGTACCTATAATAAATGAAATGAGAAACATCAACAAAAGAAAAGCTATAAATAACTGAATGGGTCTATAGATGTAGCTTAATGGTAGAAAGAATACCTAGCTTTTACAAGGCTCTGGGAAAGAAAAAAACAAACAAACAAACAAACAATAAAGCCTGGCCTGGTAGCACAGAGAACACAAGAGTCAGGAGGACTGAGCCAAGTTAAGGCCAGCCAGGGTTACAGTGATTTAAAGGCCAGCCTCTGCTATATAGAGATCCTGCCTCAAAATTAAAACAAAGCTAGAGATGTAACTCAGTTGTGGAAAACTGAGTTTAATTGTTCAACATTGTAAAAACCAGCATTGCAGAATAGCAAAAGGAGGAAGAGAGAGAGAACTATAATATATTAAAAAAAAAAAAAAAAAAAAGGAATGCTCAGAGAACTCAGGAACAAAACAGGAGGCTCAACTGGAAGACCCAGTGATGCAGATCTCTAATCATAACATTGGAAAGGCAGAGACAAAAGGACTGCTACAAGTTCAAGGCCAGCCTATTCTACAAAGCACACTCTAGGCCAGCAAGGGCTACACAAAAAACTCTGTCTCAAAAAAAACAGTAAAACAGAGCCAGGTGGTGGTGGTGGTGGTGGTGGTGGTGGTGGTTGCAGCGCAGCACACACCTTTAATCCCAGCACTCGGGAGGCAGAGGCAGGTGGATCTCTGTGAGTTCGAAGCCAGCCTGGTCTACAGTGTGAGTTCCAGGACAGCCAAGGCTACGTAGAGAAACCCTGTCTCCAAAAATCAAAAACAAAACAAAACAAAACAAAAAAAACAGAAAGGAGAGAGACCCAAAATATAAATGTGATCAAACACTGGAAGAAAAAGCATTCACTGTCAACACAGAACTCTATCTTTATATATGCAATTGATATGGGCAGAACTGTGGCGGCCAACCACCCGGAAGACTCTAGCACAGCGATGGGAGTATCTGTGAGGTGAGGGTTCTCAAGCAGGAGAGTCACCCTAAACTGGGTTACTGGAGGCCTAGGTGAAATGGATTATGTATGTGAGGTAGTCAACATTCTGGGCCCTTCCTTCTTTCTGTCAGATTTTTTTTCCCCACTTTGGTTTTTCAAGACAGTGTTACAACCCTGACTGTCCTGGAACTTACTCTGTAGAGCAGGCTAGCCTCAAATTCACTGAGATTCACCTGCCTCTGCCTCCCGAGTGCTGGGATTAAAGGTGTGCACCACCACTGCCCAGCTTTCTGTCAAGTATTTTGTCTCAGAAACAAATAACTAACATTAAAATAGCAAACAGAATTCATCATCAGAAAACATACTTTGTAAACATAAGGAGGAAAGGCTGGCAAGATGACTCAGCAAACCTGGAGAGCTGAGTTCTCTCTCTAGAAACTGTGTAAATATGAAAACACAAAACTCCACAAATGTATCCTCTGGCTTCCACATGCTTGCTATGGCAGCACCACAACATGTGTGCAACACACATTTACAAACACACAAATAACAATGACAACAACAATAAACAAATTGGGCCAACAAGACAGCTCAGCAGTAAAAATCCTGTTGTTCAGTTGGAACCTCCA